TTTCCTGCTCGCCCGATCTCAAGTCTCTATCTTCAAGGTAGTGTACACGTCCGGGAAAGTGAGTCAGAGTTTGGCTCGTATGGGCAATCTCACTGATTACGACGGATACGTGGAAAACACATGCTTAGACGCATTTTCCACAACGTGCAACACTCACACTGCATAAAAAAACATGGTCAGCATTATGTAGTGCACATGCCCCGACCATATGTCTAAAATGCTAACGAAGCATTGTCCGCTTCGCTCTGTTTGTCTTTGGAATGCACTGCGTGCACAGGAAATGGACAGTGGTCCACGGGTGTGCGACTGCGGCAGACCTTTCATGTCCTTACGGACTTTAAACTCGCATCGTGCGAGGGCATGCCCCGCCGTGGCGGATGAAGGAGCGCAAAGGCAGGAGAATGATGCTGCCCACGACCCGGGACCATCCAACATAGGCGCAACCAATCTCACTGGTGATGAGAGCGAGGACGCGGGGGCAGAGGACGACGCGAATGGGGCAGCCGGTGATAACGCAGAGTCGGCAGCGCAACCCGTCGAGCCTTTTGACAGCTCGCGCAGGCTAGCAGCGCTTATTTTTTCCGCCAGGGGCGGCGTCAGTATGTCACATACGGACGTTGATGCTCTCTTGTCACTTCTCAAAGACCCGAGATTCAGCGCGACGGACATTGCGTACCGCAACAGTCGAGAGTGCTTCGCATGGGCGGGCAGTCTAGCAGAGGCCGCTAGGTGGAAGGAGTTGGATCTGCGTAGTAACGACTGGCCTCGAGAAGCGCACGCCGTCTTGTGGCACTGCGATTGGCGGACTGCATTCTTATCGATAATGCACGTCGCATTGCAGAAATGCGAGACGGTTCATTCCCTCGAGGTGTCCCCGCCGTCGGAGGACAACAGTGTATCCGGTCCGCGCAACGGGGCGCTTAGTTATCACACGCAGTCAATCATTCGAGCGCACAAAGGTGTCGACGAGAATGGATACTCACGATATGTAATCCCTCTCTCACTGTACTCCGACAAGACGCACACAGGAGGTCGTCAGAAACAGACGGCATACCCTCTTATGATGTCGCTAGCCGACCACGCGTCGGAAGCCACTCTGCTGGCCTATCTTTCCGTGCTTCATCATCGACCCCGTGACAAAAGATGGGGTCTACAGCCCACCGCATTCAGGAAGCAAAAGGCCGTCATCTTCCACAAGGTCCTTTCGACGGTCTTGCAAGCTGCAAAGGAGGCATCGCACGACGGCATCACGATACCGTCGATGCGATTCGGGGACGTGATTGTCCACCCTTTCTCAACTATATACAGGACTACCTTGAGCGATGTACGCTGGCGAATATGAAGTTTGGTGTATGCCCTACATGCACCGTGTCGAAAACGGACCTCGATGTCGTGGCCGATTTCACGAACAGCAAGAGATCCCAGACGCTGAAAACTCAACTCGCAGCAGTTGTGTTTACGGCGGACGACGATGACGTGCGTCGTGCGGCGGAAGGGCGAATGGCGGAGTTGGACATGCATAGGCATGTTGAACAGAACGGCCTTTGGGGGTTCTACAGGGGGCCGAGTGGCGATGATCCTCAGTTAGACTACCACCTCGCATTGCAACCAGACCATATGCACACGATCGAACACGGCATATTCCTGCACATGATCGATGCATTTAGGGCGGCAGCCTTTGAGAAGTTGCCGAACACACCGCAAACAGAGATCCTGAAGGAACTCGATGCGAGATTGCAATGCGTTTGTGAGAGATGTACGCGAACATATCCCCAACTTGTGCTGCCCGTGGCCACAGGCAACGATTTTTTTTCTCGAGAGGGACGCTTCGAGACGAAGCAAAACCGGTCTGTGATGACAGTGTGCGTGTTCCTCATTTTTAATATAATCCCGCGCTCGACAGGCAAGGGCATTACCGCTTGTTTTGTTAAGCTGATGCAAATGTACGTACGGTTGTTTCAGCGCACAGCACACACTCGAGCTTCCCTTGACGAATGTGACTCGTTGATGACGGACTTCGTAACGACCATCAAAGCGAAATTGGGAAGATACCAACCATCAAATTGGAAACTCCCGAAGTTGCATGATCTTATGCATATGAGAACGAGTATTGAGCGATCTGGTGTGGCCGACACATTCGCTGCAGACGTTTGGGAGCATCACCACAGGAGATTCTGCAAACAACCGTACATGTCATCGAACAAAAGGAAAGCGTCAACCCAGATGGTCAACCACGTGCGCCGGTCGTTGGCGTTGCAGGAGGAGACCGGATTTGTGAGGAAAAAGAGGAAGAGGGCCGTCGAGAATAGGTCTTCTGTGACGGACTGTATGGCAACGGGGATGAACACCCTGGCACTACGCGATACGTCAATCCTTCAACTGCGCTAGTTCGACATCGATTAGGACCAGATATGCGAGGTGGAAGGCATTGACAGTCATGCGTGTAAGATACTTGAAGAGCTCCCTTTCAGAACCGATTTTCGAGCAGCGATWACGACGTACATGGCGGAGAATGGTTGTCAACCTCCKYCTGATGATCTCGCTATACACACACGAACACATCTCGYCATCGCTTGCACGCAGGACGRAACAAACAGGGGCACACTTGTTCAAACTGCACGAGCRTCGCCGTGGTTCCACGGGAGACCAGTGCACAGCGACGTCGCAATAAGAGCAGCCAACGAATGTACGTGGTTCGCATCAGTGGCCATGTTTTTCGTCGTCGATGCACCCACAGACGGCGGTAATGTGGAACACAAGTGCGTTTTTGTGTAGTGGTACACAGAGGTTGACAGTGAACGGGAACACGTGACAGGTTGCAAGGAATTGAAATGGGAGAAGGCGAATGGATATCAGCACAGCAGCGTCGTTTCAACCGACACTATCATGAACACCGTTCACATTGTTCCGCGCTTCTGTAAACCACAATGGGGATCGAAAATGCATGCGCGCCACCGTGAGGACTGTTTTTTTTTAAACAAGTACATATTGTAGAAGGAATAAATTTGAAGTTTGAGAGAGAGAGAGAGACTCATTTCAATTACGAGAAAATTTGTAAGTCTGTCTATTTCTTCTCGCGACAAGATGGTAATGCCGTTCTCGGCCGAAGTAAATCTTTCTAGTAGCTGTAAACAACTATGATGTCTAACACTGACATACCTACGAAGGAGAACCAAAACCTCATGCGAAACGAAAGTGTCCCCAAATGACTACTGCGTGACATTCACGTCGTCAACAGTGACATTTGATTCATTTTTGGCACGCAGTAGCCAACCTCTCTCTCTTCCTCTCTCTCTCTCTCTCTCTCTCTCTCTCTCTCTCTCTCTCTCTCTCTCTCTCTCTCTCTCT